TTGAAGCGTTCGTCCAGCAGTGAATCTACAGAGGCTGACGATGATGATGGTATAAGAAACGCCAGCATCTGAAACATCATTGCTAATGAGCAATAGATAAGTCTGTCGAACAGAATAAATCGAAATCTTTCCAATTGTTCAAATATCATGTTGCCGTGGCCCGTTACAGTGGTCCCTTAGGTAAGGGATTGTGCAATAGGCCGTGAAATTCTGTACGTCAGTAAGTCTGAAACATCTTATCAACCTGTCAGAACTGTTGGACTGGAAAACTTCGTAATGCTATTATTTTTAAGCCACGAATTTACTGAAGTTAATTTAAACTTGGTGCTACTGGTTTCTGTTTGTATTGGTTATGTCGAGCTTAACTTCTATGCAAACTGCCGAAAAATCCGATACCGCGCTCTGGCTTCCTAGTCACGCCTGCCGTGTTTCGGGTCTCACACGAGATGTTCATGGGCTGGAATAAGGTGTTTATGCTCGCTCACCCTAAAACAACCAGCCTCTTTCTTTTAGTCTCCTAGTCTACTGAGATCATCTGTGCCAAGAACAGAATAGAGTCATTCCCTACGTGGTCCTGCCGTTTAACCCTCATTATGCCTCGAACGCTGCTATACGCAGCTCAGCCCTTGTTCTACCGCCTTTGTTAGAACAGCTGTCTCATTGCGTACAATACCGTTGACCTGACAGATACAAGATACAGGCGGATTTTTGTTGAAGCTGTTACGCTGTTCTCAACCAAAATATTGGACAGGTTTCCAAAAACATCCGAGGCTAAAGCTGTCCTCCTATTTTTCAGTATAATCGCCCTTCAGTTTTTCTGTTAATGATTCACAGAAACGTTTAATAAATAATACAGTTTCGGAATATACTGATACCCAAAACATTGCAAACATTTGTAGTCAGTGGTAAATGCGGTGATTTTACTTTGTATTTTTTATGTCTGACTGAGGCTAGATTGGTATATCTCTGACGATCTCCCACTTCAGCCAGTAAACGCGCACGCAGGGTTTTCTGGTCTCTGTGTTGCGAAGTTGTTCTTAAACTAGAGTCCTTACTTAAGTCCATAAGGTTGCTCGTTTCGTGACCAGAGTTTGTTAGCAACTGCGGTGGAATTGGTCCGCTGCAAAGCGTTACAGATTTACTACCCTGCTGCGGTGTTACGTTGTCCCGCACGTGAGACAATTTTCGATGCAGATTTATGAAAAATTGTATTCATCTTCGATGGTCGGTTTTGTGTTTCATTTCTTTTAGGTAACGGTTTGGTAACTCCTTTCCTTGCGTTTAGTGTTAACCTATTGTTTTTTGCTGCTGCTGGCCAATTGTCGTCTGAGCCTTGCAGCGTATTATAATTTTGACGCTGTTTCAGATTTCGCATCACGCACAAAAGCGACCCGAAACGAGACTTCACGATCGGAAACAAGGACGGTGTGCTGAAAGTGGCGAAACCCCTCGATCGCGAAACGATACCTCAGTACAAACTGCAGATTGAGGCAGTCGATGCAGGTAATAGTTACTTTTGTTTTTCGTCGCATGCGTGGCATCGTCCCATTTTCCCTTCAACTCTGTGCTCTAGATTGGTCCCAACTTTTGAGTTGAACCGATGGCAAGCTTCCTGCCGTCCGAATCATGTAGGTACTCGGGGGCCCGATTGTTAAACGTGAGTTTTCCCAGTATGTTACTCGATTCGACTTATTTAATCGGTTCCATATTTCAACCCTTCCCCGTCTTTCGCTATTTTGATATGGCGTTCAGGAACGCCTTGCTATGATTTTTAAAAGCACCGTATTACAGGTCTGTGCGCCTGATTCCAAGTGAGAATTCAAATCTTTCTTGGAGGAAGTTAAACGTGCTTTGAACGAAAAGCCGATGACGGAATGCATGATTATGATAACTGATTTCAATGCGCATATCGGAACAGACATTGAAAGTGAAAAGGCTTGAGTAGTACAATCCAAAATAACAATAACGACATGAAGTTGTTGCGTTTTTGCGTAAACAACGGACTGTATGTAATGAACACCTTCGTTGACCATCGAAGCTTGCATCAGTGTACCTGGTAGAGGGAAGCCTTTGCGCGGAAGTCGAGCATCTAGTTGATAATCTTCTGACTCACGCCGCTTTTTAATGAATGTTCGCGTTAAGAGCGTCGCAGACCTGTCAGCCAATCATCACTCCGCTACGAACGAGGCAGTAAGTACCTCTCGAAGACCTTGCAGCAGAAGCAACCAGACAATTAAATGCGAAACATTATCTTCTTCGAATACGAAGGTGAGATTCACAACGGCGTCGCGCGACGGTTTAAATCGATCCCAGTGATGACCTCTGACATGAAGGCCTAGTGAAACACGGGGCTGTTGCTGAACGTTACCGTTTAGAACGGGTTTGCCTGCAGCCTGAAAGTGCCAAGAAGGAACTTCGTGGTGAACACGAGTGATTGAACTGACTTTAATCGCGAAGATGGTTGTATATCGGAGGTGACTTGGACGCAAAGAGCCTTCAGTTCCGGTGCGGCACAAAGAATCGTTCAGACCGATAACGTAGGCGCTGGTTAAAGTGAAAACTGATTCCTGGGAAATGTTCGCTGAGGTGCTGGAGTCGAATTTCCAGGCGGCAAACAAGGTATTCACGCAGACCACCAGCCGACTCTGAGGTGAAAAGAAGGGCAGTCTAAGAATCTTGAAGGACAGGTCTGAACCCCCTCTTACTGTGCCTGATGACATGCTTCGGCGAAGAGGAGAGTACGCGAAGGAACGCTTTAACCGTGAGCGACCGCAGAAACACTGGCTTGAACAGCAGGAGACAGAGGATACTTGTCC